GGTAGTGGGAGCAGGGAGGAAGCATTTAGGAACTAGAGGAAAGTTGTGTTTCTCATCGTTGTTACATCGCACCCTGACTGGCTCATCTCCTCCCCAAGACCCCTCTGTAAGGGGATCTCCAGTCAAGGCCTGACCTTTCAGAGAGCGATTTGACCTGGGCTCCTCCTGGGCCTCCCCTTGCTCCCTACGCTTTGTCGTGGTGTTGATCCCGACTGGGGTCTCACCGGGACAGAGTGGGGGCCCTGCTCCCTGAATTTCTGAGACTGCACATTTCACAGGAGCAGCCTGCCTCATCTTTGGGGGGTGGGGGTGTCTGAACAGCCTATGTTCTGGTCAGCAGCTGGGAGCTTCACTACGGTGCCCACGGGGCTCCTCAAAGCTCCTCCCACCTGGCCACCTGTGTCTCAGCCTCCATTGGATGCAGTCCCTGGGGGTACTTGCTCTGACCTGCTCCCCCGAGGGCTCTCTGTCCCACCTCGGGATTATCTGCACAGGGACCCTCATGCTGTGGCCCTGCGCCAGGCATCTTGGCACGGCTCTGCATCTCCGCAGGACACTTGGCATCAACGCCTCCCCTCCTTGCCTTCTCGGCTCACGTTTTCCCGTTCTGACGTTAGCCCACCTACAAGTTTCTCTTGAAAACCATGCTGTGGCTGCCGGAGGCATTTCGCGGGCTGCGAAGCCCTCTGGGACCGAGGGAGCTGTCCCCCATTGCATTCGTTCTTGCCCACATCTCTGCCCACAAGGAGACATTTCACCTTTTCTGAAACGAGGAAACCACTCGTTGGTACACTTGCGTTTCCCCCATAGCCCTGTCCCTGTAAGTTGTGTCCAACATCGCAACAGTTTCTGCAGCATGTTCCTGAGCAGGAAACAAAATGTCACAGCTGCACACTGTTCTCTTAAACTGGACATCCCAAACAATGAGCTTCGAGCAAAACCGCTTGAATGAAAAAATTCACTGTGACCACAGAGAACCTTCCCCGGCGACACCACTGGGTGCACTGACTCAGAGCGAGTTGCTGGATGCGCGCCTAGCCAGTGGGAAAAATGCGCATCACGAAAGCTCCTCTCTGCCCCGGGGAAGCAATTCTGGTTTGCTTTTGGTACCCCCTCCTAAACCACCAGTTGCTCCTCAGGAGAAAGGTAAGGGAGGCTTTCTACTCCTGCAAGGAGTCACGGCCCGGCCTCTGACAGCGGCAGCCCTCCCCTGTCCTCCAGGGTGGCCCTGAGTTGGAAGTGCCTTCGTAGCAGTGAGTGAGGATTCAGCATCTTCAGAAGTGGGTTCCCGGGGCTTTTCTCCTGTAGAGCAGCTAGTGGCTTTTGAACTGCACACCTTCCTGTTAGCAGCTGAGCACTTAACTGTGGTGCCCCTGGGCTCCTGCATTCAGGGTTGGTAGTGGTTCGGTGCCTTTGAACCAATTCCGACCCAGCGCGACCCTGTGCCCAACAGAAGGAAACACTGTCCGGTTCTGCACCATCTTCGCAAGTGTTCCAATACCTGAGCCCATTGTTGTAGCCACTGTGTCCACCTGTCTCCTCTTTTTTGCTGCCCCTGCACTTTACCAAGAACGATGTTCTTCTCCAGGGCTTCTCTCTGCTGACCACGTGTGCAAATTATGTTAAGTCAAAGTCTTGCCACCCTTGCCTCTAAGGATCACTCTGGCTGTACTTTTTCCGGAACAGATCTGTTTGTCCTTTTAGCAGTCCATGGTACTTTCAACGTTCCTCTCCAGCACCCCCACTCAAATGCATCGATGCTTCTTTGGTCTTCCTGATCCAGCATCCAACTGTCACGTGCATATGAGGCGATGGAGAACACCAGGCGTGGGTCAGGTGCACCTTAGTCCTCAAAGGAACATCCTAGCTTTTCAACACTCCAAAGTGGTCTTATGCAGTGGGATTCACCTAATGCCTCCAGGGGTAGATCATCCAATATACCAGGTAAGCAGGGGCTTGCTTGTGCTTATTGATTCCTCAGCTGTGATCAATTCCACCTGGGCTGCGCTACATCTTTAATGTGAAAAACATAAAGAAAAACTCTTCACCAGGGAGGAGTGAGCACATCAGCCTGACGGGGTGCTCTGACACTGTCCCTTGTAATCCAGGGGGCCGCTTCTCAAGCCAGGCTCCACTCCCCAGCTTCTCTGTGTATCAAGTGGGGGGTGTTTCCATGGGCATGGTGGCCCTCACCCAAATTGGGCCTGGTCCCTAGCAGTGCTGCCAACCCAGACACCCTGTTCCATGCCTGCTGTCACCAGCCTTCTCTGGGACCAGATCCATCTCTACATCCACTGCGCCCCACTGCTCTATATCCAGCCAGGGTTCCTGTGCTCTCTTGTGCACCCCGAACCCGGCCTTCTTGGCTCTGCACTGCCATACCAGATCCGAGTTCTGCAGACCCATGTTCTTCTAGCCCGCTTTCTAAGGCAGCCTGGTGGTGCTGTCGGGTGCGTCCTGGACTGACAGCCTCCAGGTCAGTGGTTCTATTAACCTCAACTTGATGGTAATGGGGTTTGGGGTAACCCTGCTACTAGCCAAAGGGTGGCAGTTTGACACCCCACACCCCACCGCCGCCCAGGAGGCACCTCGGAAGAGCCCTGGTGATCTGTTTCTAAAGGATTACAACCTATGGAGTAGTTCTACTCTGCACACATGCAACGCCGTGGGTCAAAATCAAATGTGACCACCACCACAATCCCTGGCATCAGAGGGTGGGGTGGGGTTAGGGGAAGGCCCCTAAGCAATGCTAGCAAAGTCCTTGGTGGCCCCACTATGGGAAGGGCTTGGTGGCACAAGCAGGTGGTTAAGGGCTCAACCACTAACTTGAACCACCCCAGGAGCAGCTCAGAAGTAAGGCCTGGCAAACTGCTTCTGAAAAGTCCCAGGCCTGAAACGCAACGCAGCACACATAGGGTCTGTCCAAGTGCGAATGAGTCCGTACCAAGGGCAACTTGGGGCTTGGGATCGGGGCAGCAAATGGTTTCATTGGCCCACAGTTCCAATTTGCTCAGCCTGAGTTCTTCCAGCGTCTGCTTCTCCTGCGATCGGGAATGATAGGGAGCAGGGGGGTCGCACGTGCGAGGGCCAGGAGAGAAATCTCCCGCGCCTAATGAAACCGACGCTATCAGAGATTGCCTTAGCTCAGGTCTGGGAGCCGAAAGGGGAGAGGAAGGGAGACGAGAAAGTGGGAAAAAAAAAAGCTCTCGACTCAGGACTCCGGTGTTCACTGCAGCAGGTTTTCACACTCACCTGCCAGGATGCATTTGGCGGCCAGCTTCACCATGGTAACCAACCACCGCCACCAACCACACCCCGAAGGCGCGGCTGCT